AAAAAAAAACAGAGAAATATAAATTCATAATTCACATTTCTTTTACGATGTCGTTTCTGTTTAAGGACTGGAACAGGATAAGAACTTGTGTTCTATCAGTTCCTGTGTACCTGACGATTCACTGTTAGTTTAGAGATTCTTCCGGAAATGGCTAACGTCTGCTCCAATCTCTATTCTCCGTCTCCGTCACTGCTTCTTCCCCGCCAAAATGGGTTTTCCGGTTGCCGTTTTATGCGGTATCGCGATCTTCTTCCACAAATTTCCGCTCAAAGTTTTGTGCTTTTTTCAATTTACTGTTCCAACTGCTGATTTTTTTAGTAGGGTTTGCTGCTGTCTAGTTGATTTCAGTTTAATTTGTTTTAAAGTTTAAATCTTTCATTCTTGTCCCTAAACTTTATTTGGTATGGATAATTTGAACTAAAAACCAGATGCCATTTTCACTTTATAGTACCTCTTTGCTTATAATGGAACTTTGCAATTCTAGTATTTTACCCTTGAAATCCTGTCTCAAAGAGTCATCTTTTGCTTATAGAAAAAATATACTTAATTATTTTTAAATATGTCTTTATTAATCATTTAATATTAAACAATAATTTTTAATTATTGTAATATCAAACAGTTATATTAATCTCATATGCTATTTACTTTCTGTCATCATTTATATGCTATCGTTATTTGCTATTCATTACTTGCTATTTTTTAAATTTTAATCACTATACCAAACAAGTCTTTTGTTCATAGCTTTTCAAATGATACACTTGAGTATATAAGACACTGACTTCCTTTTTTAAAAAAATTTTTTTTTTGCATCTAGTGGACCAAATGGGCGGTAAAAATCTTGCCCAAATGCCAAATCCCTTGCTATATAAGCATGCTATAGCAGTATTTTGCCATGCAAGCGAGTCCCCAAATTGCAGTTAAGTTGGCAGTAAGAATAAAGGCTAAATTGCAGCGACCACAGAGTCTATGGACTTATATGCATTAATTAAACTTTAGGGGTTCAATAGCGATTTTGGGGTTAGTTCAAGGGCTTAACTTATGGTTTTGCCAAGAAAAAAATATACATAAGGCTTTGAGTTTTTTATGGGATGCACAAGGCATGATCCGCCCCGTTGTCAATGAACTAGCCTATTAGGAATTCATGACCCTTGCCTTACACTGAGCAAGTATTTTTT